ACTGCTTCAAAAGGTGACGATGCCTGACTCCTCTTGAATATTGATATTAATCCCAAAATCACTGTGGCTACTTGAAGGGGTCCTTGGGTGCCCTGCCTCTCCCCGAGAGGCGTCTCTTGTGCCGTGCCAAACCTCGAAGAGATTCCTGAGGTGTCCCTCTTTACTAGACAGGAGTCCTGACGTCACTGAATAAACACGTGTTTTGAAGGGCCATCCCCGCCCTAACTCGAGAACATACCCCAGGTCCCCGCCGCAACTGGAGAAAAACCATGAGACTTCCCCCTAGATGTGAGATGAGGCCCGATTCTCCTGCAGTGCATGCAGAGCAATTCCGGGATCCCCATCAAACAAGTCAGAAGCTCTGACTTGCTTAATGGATCTCGACACAGTCCCGAAGAACACTGTCACAAGTCTAGACGAACCCTGAGGTCAACCCAGCATCGCAAAGCAGCCCCATGTGCCTCAAGTCAACTCGAGATGAAGCCCGATTCCCCTACATGGACTCCAGAGCCATCCCCCGTTCCCCATTAAACACGTCCAGTGGCTTGACTTCCTTCAGGAAACTCCAGAGATGCCCCGAGAACACTGTCCCAAGTCTAGAGGAACACTAACTTCATCACAGCAACTCGAGGAATGCTCCGTGTACCCGAAATCGTCTCGAGATGAGAGCTGATTCCCTGGCTTAAGCACAAGACGTATGCCAACTTTACAGAAGCACCTCAAGGGGAGGCTTCTCTCAGGATTAGGTATGTCAGAGGGACCCCGAGTTTGCTGCCTCAAGTGGAATATACAGCTAGAAGCCCTAACTAGAAAGGAGAAGGGCTTTCCTTGCAGTGGCTTGAATACAGGCTCGTCTTTCATCTCTCAACATGAAGGGATGTCTGAATCCCCTGTGGAGACCTTAGAGAAAGCCCTAGGTCCCTGCCTCATTTGACGGAAAGCCTCACATCCCGTTGACACCTCGAGAGGCACGCAGAGTTCACTGCTTCAAAAGGTGACGATGCCTGACTACTCTTGAATATTGATAGGAATCCCAAAATCCATGTGGCTACTGGAAAGGGTCCTTGGGTGGCCTGACTCACCTCGAAAAGTGTCCCTTGTGGCCTGCCAAGCCTCAAAGAGTTTCCTGAAGTGTCCCTCGTTACTAGATAGGAGTCCTTACATCACTGAATAAACACATGTTTTGAAGGGCCATCCCCCTGTAACTCGATAACATACCACAGGTCCCCGCCGCAACTCGAGGAAAACCATGAGACTTCCCCCTAGATGTGAGATGAGGCCCGATTCCCCTGCAGGGCATGCAGAGCAATTTCGTGATCCCCATCAAACAAGTCAGAAGCTTCGACTTGCTTAATGGATCTCGAGACAGTCCCCAAGAACACTGTCACAAGTCTAGACGGACCCTGAGGTTACTACAGCAACGCAAACTAGCTCCATGTGCCACAAATCAATTCGAGGTGAGGCCTGATTCCACTGCATTGACTCCAGAGCCATCCGCCGTTCCCCATTCAAAACGACCAGTGGCTTGACTTCCTTCAGGCACCTCCAGAGATGCCCCGAGAACACTGTCCCAAGTCTAGAGGAACACTAACTTCAGCACAGCAACTCGAGGAATGCTCCATGTACCCCAAATCGTCTCGAGATGAGAGCTGATTCCCTAGCTTAGGCTCAAGACGTATGCCAACTTTCCAGAAGGACCTCAAGGGGAGGCTTCTTTAAGCAATAAGTATGTGGTAGGGACCCCGAGTTGCTGCCTCAAGTGGATTATACAGCGAGAAGCCCTAACTTAAAGGAGGCGGCGTTTAATTGCAGTGGCTTGAATACTGCTCGTCTTGCATCTCCCAACATGAAGGGATGTCTGAATCCCCTGTGGAGACCTTAGAGTAAGCCCTAGGTCCCTGCCTCATTATGACGGAATGCCTCAGATCCCGTTGACACCTCGAGAGGCACGCGGAGTTCACTGCTTCAAAAGGTAACGTAGCCTGACTCATCGTGAATATTGGTAGAAATCCCAAAATCTCTGTGGCTACTGGAAAGGGTCCTTGGGTGCACTGCGTCACCTCGAGAAGTGTCCCTCGTGCCCTGCCAGTACTCAAAGAGATTACTGAGATGTCCCTCATTACTAGACAGGAGTCCTGACGTCACTGAATAAATACGAGTTTTGAAGGGCAATCCCCACCGTAACTCGAGAACATATTGCAGGTCCCCGCTGCAAATCGAGGAAAACCTTGAGACTTCCCCCTAGATGTGAGATGAGGCCCGATTCCCTGCAGTGCACGCAGAGCAATTCCGTGATCCCCATCAAACAAGTCAGGAGCTTCGACTTGCTTAATGGATCCCGAGACAGTCCCCAAGAACACTGTCACAAGTCTAGACGCAACCTGAGGTCACCCCAGCAACGCAAAGCAGCTCCATGTGCCCCAAATCAACTCGAGATGAGGCCCGATTCCCCTGAGTTGACTCCAGAGCCATCCGCCGTTCCCCATTAAACATGACCAGTGGCTTGACTTCCTTCAGGCAACTCCAGAGATGCCCCGAGAACACTGTCCCAAGTCTAGAGGAACACCAACTTCAGCACAGCAACTCGAGGAATGCTCCGTGTACCCCAAATCGTCTCGAGATGAGAGCTGATTCCCTGGCTTAGGCTCAAGACGTATGCCAACTTTCCAGAAGCACCTCAAGGGGAGGCTTCTTTAAGCAATAAGTATGTGGTAGGGACCCCGAGTTTGCTGCCTCAAGTGGATTATACAGCGAGAAGCCCTAACTTAAAGGAGGCGGCGTTTCCTTGCAGTGGCTTGAATACTGCTCGTCTTGCATCTCCCAACATGAAGGGATGTCTGAATCCCCTGTGGAGACCTTAGAGTAAGCCCTAGGTCCCTGCCTCATTATGACGGAATGCCTCAGATCCCGTTGACACCTCGAGAGGCACGCGGAGTTCACTGCTTCAAAAGGTAACGTAGCCTGACTCATCGTGAATATTGGTAGAAATCCCAAAATCATTATGGCTACTGGAAAGGGTCATTGGGTGCACTGCGTCACCTCGAGAAGTGTCCCTCGTGCCCTGCCAGTACTCAAAGAGATTACTGAGATGTCCCTCTTTACTAGACAGGAGTCCTGACGTCACTGAATAAATACGTGTTTTGAAGGGCAATCCCCACCGTAACTCTAGAACATATTGCAGGTCCCCGCTGCAAATCGAGGAAAATCATGAGACTTCCCCCTAGATGTGAGATGAGGCCCGATTCCCCTGCAGTGCACGCAGAGCAATTCCGTGATCCCCATCAAACAAGTCAGGAGCTTCGACTTGCTTAATGGATCTCGAGACAGTCCCCAAGAACACTGTCACAAGTCTAGATGCAACCTGAGGTCACCCCTGCAACGCAAAGCAGCTCCATGTGCCCCAAATCCACTCGAGATGAGGCCTGATTCCCCTGCGTTGACTGCAGAGCCATCCGCCGTTCCCCATTAAACATGACCAGTGGCTTGACTTCCTTCAGGCAACTCCAGAGATGCCCCGAGAACACTGTCCCAAGTCTAGAGGAACACCAACTTCAGCACAGCAACTCGAGGAATGCTCCATGTACCCCAAATCGTCTCGAGATGAGAGCTGATTCCCTTGCTTAGGCTCAAGAAGTATGCCAACTTTCCAGAAGCACCTCAAGGGGAGGCTTCTTTAAGCAATAGGTATGTGGTAAGGACCCCGATTTTGCTGCCTCAAGTCGGATATACAGCGAGAAGCCCTAACTTGAAAGGAGGCCGGGTTTCCTTGCAGTGGCTTGAATACAGGCTCGTCTTTCATCTCCCAACATGAAGGGATGTCTTAATCCCCTGCGGAGACCTTACAGATAGCCCTAGGTCCCTGCCTCATTATGATGGAATGCCTCACATCAAGTTGACACCTCGGGAGGCACGCAGAGTTCACTGCTACAAAATGTGACGATGCCTGACTCCTCTTGAATATTGATAGGAATCCAAAATACCTGTGCCTACTGGAAAGGGTCCTTGGGAGCACTACCTCACCTGGAGAAGCGTACCTTGTGCCCTGCCAAGCCTCAAAGAGATTCCTGAGTTGTCCCACGTTACTAGACAGGAGTCCTGACGTCACTGAATCAACATGTGATTTGAAGGGTCATCCCCGCCCTAACTCGAGAACATACCGCATATCCCCGCTGCAACTCGAGAAAAACCATGAGACTTCCCCATAGATGCGAGATGAGGCTCGATTCTCCTGCAATGCATGCAGAGCAATTCCGTGATCCCCATCAAACAAGTCTGGAGATTCGAATTCCTTAATGGATTTCGACAGAGTCCCCAAGAACACTGTCACAAGTTTAGATGGACCCTGAGGTTACAACAGCAACGAAAAGTAGCTCCATGTGCCACAAATCAACTTGAGGTGAGGCCCGATTCCACTGCATTGACTCCAGAGCTATCCCCCGTTCCCCATTCAACACGACCAGTGGCTTGACTCCCTTCAGGCAACTCCAGAGATATCCCGGGAACACTGTCCCAAGTCTAGAGGAACACCAACTTCAGCACAGCAACTCGAGGAATGCTCCATGTATCCAAAATAGTCTCGAGATGAGAGCTGATTCCATGGCTTAGGCTCAAGACGTATGCCAACTTTCCAGAAGCACCTCAAGGGGAGGCTTCTTTAAGCAAAAGGTATGTGGTAGGGACCCCGAGTTTGCTGCCTCAAGTGGGATATACAGCGAGAAGCCCTAACTTGAAAGGAGGCCGGGTTTCCTTGAATTGGCTTGAATACAGCTCTTCTTTCATCTCCCAACATGAAGGGATGTCTGAATCCCCTGTGGAGACCTTAGAGAAAGCCCTAGGTACCTGCCTCATTATGACGGAATGCCTCACATTCCATTGACACCTCGAGAGGCACGCAGAGTTCACTGCTTCAAAAGGTAACGTAGCCTGACTCATCGTGAATATTGGTAGAAATCCCAAAATCTCTGTGGCTACTGGGAAAGGCCCTTGGGTGCACTGCTCACCTCGAGAAGCGTCCCTCGTGCCCTGCCAGTCCTCAAAGAGATTACTGAGGTGTCCCTCGTTACTAGACAGGAGTCCTGATGTCACTGAATAAACACGAGTTTTGAAGGGCAATCCCCGCCGTAACTCGAGAACATACCGCAGGTCCCCGCCACAAATCGAAAAAAACCATGAGACTTCCCCCTAGATGTGAGATGAGGCCCGATTCCCCTGCAGTGCAGGCAGAGCAATTCCGTGATCCCCATCAATCGAGTCACGAGCTTAGACTTGCTTAATGGATCTCGAGAGAGTCCCCAAGAACACTGTCACAATTCTAGACGGACACTGAGGTCACCCCTGCAACGCAGAGCCGCTCCATGTGCCCCAAATCAACTCGAGATGAGGCCCGATTCCCCTGGGTTGACCCCAGAGCCTTCCCCCGTTCCTCATTATAAAAGACCAGTGTCTTGACTTCCTTTAGGCAACTCCAGAGATGCCCCGAGAACACTGTCCCAAGTCTAGAGGAACACCAACTTCAGCACAGCAACTCGAGGAATGCTCTGTGTAACCCAAATCGTCTCAAGATGAGAGCTGATTCCATGGCTTTGGGTCAAGACGTATGCCAACTTTCCGGAAGCACCTCAAGGGGAGGCTTCTCTCAGCAATATGTATGTGGGAGGGACCCCGAGTTTGCTGACTCAAGTGGAATATACAGCGAGAAGCCCTAACTTGAAAGGAGGCCGGGTTTCCTTGCAGTGGCTTGAATACAGGCTCATCTTTCATCTCCCAACATGAAGGGATTTCTGAACCCCTGTGGAGACCTTACAGAAAGCCCTAGGTCCCTGCCTCATTTTGACGGAAAGCCTCACATCCCATTTACACCTCGAGTGGCACGCAGAGTTCACAGCTTCAAAAGGTGAGGATGCCTGACTACTCTTGAATATTGATAGGAATCCCAAAATACCTGTGGCTACTGGAAAGGGTCCTTGGGTGGCCTGACTCACCTCGAAAAGGGTCCTGTGGCCTGCCAAGGCTCGAAGAGATTCCTGAGGTGTCCCTCGTTACTAGATAGGAGTCCTTACGTCACTGAATAAACACGTGTTTTGAAGGGCCATCCCCCCGTAACTTGATAACCTACTACAGGTCCCCGCTGCAACTCCAGAAAAACCATGAGACTACCCCCTAGTTGTGAGATGAGGCCCGATTCCCCTGCAGGGCATGCAGAGCAATTCCGTGATCCCCATCAAACAAGTCAGAAGCTTCGACTTGCTTAACGGATCTCGAGACAGTCCCCAAGAACACTGTCACAAGTCTAGACGGACCCTGAGGTTACCAGAGCAACGCAAAGTAGCTCCATGTGCCATAAATCAACTCGAGGTGAGGCCTGATTCCCCTGCGTTGACTCCAGAGCCATCCGCCGTTCCCCATTAAACACGACCAGTGGCTTGACTTCCTTCAGGCAACTCCAGAGATGCCCCGAGAACACTGTCCCAAGTCTAGAGGAACACCAACTTCAGCACAGCAACTCGAGGAATTCTCCATGTACCCCAAATCGTCTCGAGATGAGAGCTGATTCCCTGGCTTAGGCTCAAGACGTATGCCAACTTTCCAGAAGCACCTCAAGGGGAGGCTTCTTTAAGCAATAAGTATGTGGTAGGGACCCCGAGTTTGCTGCCTCAAGTGGGATATACCGGGAGAAGCCCTAACTTGAAAGGAGGCCGGGTTTCCTTGAAGTGGCTTGAATACAGCTCGTCTTGCATCTCCCAACAGGAAGGGATGTCTGAATCCCCTGCGGAGACCTTACAGATAGTCCTAGGTCCCTGCCTCATTATGACGGAATGCCTCACATCCTGTTGACACCTCGAGAGGCACGCGGAGTTCACTGCTTCAAAAGGTAACGTAGCCTGACTCATAGTGAATATTGGTAGAAATCCCAAAATATCTGTAGCTACTGGAAAGGGTCCTTGGGTGCACTGCATCACCTCGAGAAGTGTCCCTCGTGCCCTGCCAGTACTCAAAGAGATTACTGAGGTATCCCTCGTTATTAGACAGGAGTCCTGACGTCACTGAATAAACACGAGTTTTGAAGGGCAATCCCCGCCGTAACTCGAGAACATACTGCAGGTCCCCGCTGCAAATCGAGGAAAACCATGAGACTTCCCCCTAGATGTGAGATGAGGCCCGATTCCCCTGCAGTGTACGCAGAGCAATTCCGTGATCCCCATCAAACAGGTCAGGAGCTTCGACTTGCTTAATGGATCTCGAGACAGTCCCCAAGAACACTGTCACAAGTCTAGACGCAACCTGAGTTCACCCCTGCAACGCAAAGCAGCTCCATGTGCCCCAAATCAACTCGAGATGAGGCCCGATTCCCCTGCGTTGACTCCAGAGCCATCCGCTGTTCCCCATTAAACACGACCAGTGGCTTGACTTCCTTCAGGCAACTCCAGAGATGCCCCGAGAACACTGTCCCAAGTCTAGAGGAACACCAACTTTAGCACAGCAACTCGATGAATGCTCCATGTTCCCCAAATCGTCTCGAGATGAGAGCTGATTCCCTGGCTTAGGATCAAGACGTATGCCAACTTTCCAGAAGCCCCTCAATGGGAGGCTTCTTTAAGCAATAGGTATGTGGTAGGGACCCCGAGTTTGCTGCCTCAAGTGGGATATACAGCGAGAATCCCTAACTTGAAAAGAGGCCGGGTTTCCTTGCAGTCGCTTGAATACAGGCTCGTCTTTCATCTCCCAACATGAAGGGATGTCTGAATCCCCTGTGGAGACCTTACAGATAGCCCTAGGTCACTGCCTCATTATGACGGAATGCCTCACATCAAGTTGACACCTCGGGAGGCACGCAGAGTTCACTGCTTCAAAAGGTGACGATGCATGACTCCTCTTGAATATTGATAGGAATCCCAAAATCCCTGTGGCTACTGGAAAGTGTCCTTGGGAGCCCTTCCTCACCTCGAGAAGAGTCCCTTGTGCCCTGCCAAGCCTCGAAGAGATTCCTGAGTTATCCCACGTTACTAGAAAGGAGTCCTGACGTCACTGAATAAACATGTGATTTGAAGGGCCATCCCCGCCCTCACTCGAGAACATACCGCATATCCCCGCCGCAACTCGAGAAAAACCATGAGACTTCCCCAGATATGCGAGATGAGGCTCGATTCCCCTGCAGTGCATGCAGAGCAATTCCATGAACCCCATCAAACAAGTCTGGAGATTCGAATTCCTTAATGGATTTCGAGAGAGTCCCCAAGAACACTGTCACAAGTCTAGATGGACCCTGAGGTTACCACAGCAACGCAAAGTAGATCCATGTGCCACAAATCAAGTCGAGGTGAGGCCCGATTCCACTGCATTGACCCCAGAGCCTTCCCCCGTTTTCCATTAAACACGACCAGTGGCTTGACTTCCTTCAGGCAACTCCAGAGATGCCCCGAGAACACTGTCCCAAGTCTAGAGGAACACCATCTTCAGCACAGCAACTCGAGGAATGCTCCATGTACCCCAAATCGTCTCGAGATGAGAACTGATTCCCTGGCTTAGGCTCAAGACGTATGCCAACTTTCCAGACGCACCTCAAGGGGAGGCTTCTTTAAGCAATAGATATGTGGTACGGGTCCCGAGTTTGCTGCCTCAACTGGGATATACAGCGAGAAGCCCTAACTTCAAAGGAGGCCGGGTTTCCTTGCAGTGGCTTGAATACAGGCTCGTCTTTCATCTCCCAACATGAAGGGATGTCTGAATCCCTGTGGAGAACTTACAGATAGCCCTAGGTCCCTGCCTCATTATGACGGAATGCCTCACATCAAGTTGACACCTCGGGAGGCACGCAGAGTTCACTGCTTCAAAAGGTGATGATGCCTGTCTCCTCTTGAATATTGATAGGAATCCAAAAATCCCTGTGGCTATTGGAAAGGGTCCTTGAGATCCCTTCCTCACCTCGAGAAGCGTCCCTTGTGCCCTGCCAAGCCTCGAAGAGATTCCTGAGTTGTCCCACGTTTCTAGAAAGGAGTCCTGACGTCACTGAATAAACATGTGATTTGAAGGGCCATCCCCGCCCGAACTCGAGAACATACCGCATATCCCCGCTGCAACTCGAGAAAAACCATGAGACTTCCCCATAGATGCGAGATGAGGCTCGATTCCCCTGCAGTGCATGCAGAGCAATTCCGTGATCCCCATCAAACAAGTCTGGAGATTCGAATTCTTTAATGGATTTCGAGAGAGTCCCCAAGAACACTGTCACAAGTCTAGATGGACCCTGAGGTCACCACAGCAACGCAAAGTAGATCCATGTGCCACAAATCATCTCGAGGTGAGGCCCGATTCCACTGCATTGACTCCAGAGCCAACCGCCATTCCCCATTCAACACGACCAGTGGCTTGACTTCCTTCAGGCACCTCCAGAGATGCCCCGAGAACACTGTAACAAGACTAGAGGAACATCAACTTCAGCACAGCAACTCGAGGAATGCTCCGTGTACCCCAAATCATCTAGAGTTGAGAGCTGATTCCGTGGCTTTGGGTAAAGACGTATGCCAACTTTCCAGAAGCACCTCAAGGGGAGGCTTCTTTAAGCAAAAGCTATGTGGTAGGGACGCCGAGTTTGCTGCCCCATGTGGGATATACAGCGAGAAGCCCTAACTTGAAAGGAGGCCGGGTTTCCTTGAAGTGGCTTGAATACAGCTCGTCTTTCATCTCCCAACATGAAGGGATGTCTGAATCCCCTGGGGAGACCTTAGAGAAAGCCCTAGGTACCTGCCTCATTATGACGGAATGCCTCACATTCCATTGACACCTCGAGAGGCACGTGGAGTTCACTGCTTCAAAAGGTAACATAGCCTGACTCATCGTGAATATTGGTAGAAATCCCAAAATCTCTGTGGCTCCTGGAAAAGGTCCTTGGGTACACTGGCTCACCTCGAGAAGCGTCCCTCGTGCCCAGCCAGTCCTCGAAGAGATTACTGAGGTGTCCCTCATTACTAGACAGGAGTCCTGACGTCACTGAATAAACACGAGTTTTGAAGGGCAATCCCCGCCGTAACTCGAGAACATACCGCAGGTCCCCGCCTCAAATCGAAAAAAAACATGAGACTTCCCCCTAGATGTGAGATGAGGTCCGATTCCCCTGCAGTGCACGCAGAGCAATTCCGTGATCCCCACCAATCAAGTCCGGAGCTTCGACTTGCTTAATGGATCTCGAGAGAGTGCCCAAGAACACTGTCACAAGTCTAGACGGACCCTGAGGTCACCCCTGCAACGCAAAGCAGCTCCATGTGCCACAAATCAACTGGAGATGAGGCCCGATTCCCCTGCCTTGACCCCAGAGCCTTCCCCCATTCCTCATTAAACAAGACCAGTGGCTTGACTTCCTTTAGGCAACTCCAGAGATGCCCCGAGAACACTGTCCCAAGTCTAGAGGAACACCATCTTCAGCACAGCAACTTGAGGAATGCTCCATGTACCCCAAATCGACTCGAGATGAGAGCTGATTCCCTGGTTTAGGCTCAAGACGTATGCCAACTTTCCAGAAGCATCTCAAGGGGAGGCTTCTTTAAGCAATAGGTATGTGGTAGGGACCCCGAGTTTGCTGCCACAAGTGGGATATACAGCGAGAAGCCCTAACTTGAAAGGAGGCCGGGTTTCCTTGCAGTCGCTTGAATACAGGCTCGTCTTTCATCTCCCAACATGAAGGGATGTCTGAATCCCCTGCGGAGACCTTACAGATAGCCCTAGGTCCCTGCCTCATTATGACGGAATGCCTCACATCAAGTTGACACCTCGGGAGGCACGCAGAGTTCACTGCTTCAAAGGTGACGATGCCTGACTCCTCTTGAATATTGATAGGAATCCAAAAATCCCTGTGGCTACTGGAAAGGGTCCTTGGGTGGCCTGACTTACCTCGAAAAGTGTCCCTTGTGGCCTGCCATCCTCGAAGAGATTCCTGAGGTGTCCCTCGTTACTAGATAGGAGTCCTGACGTCACTGAATAAACACGTGTTTTGAAGGGCCATCCCCCCATAACTCGATAACGTACCACAGGTCCCCGCCGCAACTCGAGAAAAATCATGAGACTTTCCCCTCGATGCGAGACGAGGCCCGATTCACCTGCAGGGCATGCAGAGCAATTCCGTGATCCCCATCAAACAAGTCAGAAGCTTCGACTTGCTTAATGGATCTCGAGACAGTTCCCAAGAACACTGTCACAAGTCTAGACGGACCCTGAGGTTACCACAGCAACGCAAAGTAGCTCCATGTGCCACAAATCAACTCGAGGTGAGGCCCGATTCCACTGCATTGACTCCAGAGCCATCCGCCGTTCCACATTCAACACGACCAGTGGCTTGACTTCCTTCAGGTACCTCTAGAGATGCCCCGAAAACACTGTTCCAAGTCTAGAGGAACACCAATTTCAGCACAGCAACTCGAGGAATGCTCCATGTACCCCAATCGTCTCAAGATGAGAGCTGATTCCCTGGCTTAGGCTCAAGACGTATGCCAACTTTCCTGAAGCACGTCAAGGGGAGGCTTCTTTAAGCAATAAGTATGTGGTACGGACCCCGAGTTTGCTGCCTCAAGTGCGATATACAGCGAGAAGCCCTAACTTGAAAGGAGGCCGGGTTTCCTTGCAGTGGCTTGAATACAGCAAGTCTTGCATCTCCCCACATGAAGGGATGTCTCAATCCCCTGTGCAGACCTTAGAGAAAGGCCTAGGTCCCTGCCTCATTATGACGGAATGCCTCACATCACGTTGACACCTCGAGAGGCACGCGGAGTTCACTGCTTCAAAAGGTAACGTAGCCTGACTCATCGTGAATATTGGTAGAAATCCCAAAATCTCTGTGGCTACTGGAAAGGGTCCTTGGGTGCACTGCGTCACCTCGAGAAGTGTCCCTCGTGCCCTGCCAGTATTCAAAGAGTTTACTGAGATGTCCGTCGTTACTAGACAGGAGTCGTGACGTCACTGAATAAATACGAGTTTTGAAGGGCAATCCCCACCGTAACTCGAGAACATACTGCAGGTCCCCGCTGCAAATCGAGGAAAACCATGAGACTTCCCCCTAGATGTGAGATGAGGCCCGATTCCCCTGCAGTGCACGCAGAGCAATTCCGTGATCCCCATCAAAGAAGTCAGGAGCTTCGACTTGCTTAATGGATCTCGAGACAGTCCCCAAGAACACTGTCTCAAGTCTAGACGGACCTTGAGGTCAACCCTGCAACGCAAAGCAGCTCCATGTGCCCCAAATCAACTCGAGATGAGGCCCGATTCCCCTGCCTTGACTCCAGAGCCATCCGCCATTCCGCATTAAACACGACCAGTGGCTTGACTTCCTTCAGGCAACTCCAGAGATGCCCCGAGAACACTGTCCCAAGTCTAGAGGAACACCAACTTCAGCACAGGAACTCGAGGAATGCTCCGAGTACCCTAAATCGTCTCGAGATAAGAGCTGATTCCCTGGCATAGGCTCAAGACGTATGCCAACTTTCCAGAAGCACGTCAAGGGGAGGATTCTTTAAGCAATAGGTATGTGGTAGGGACCCCGAGTTTGCTGCCTCAAGTGGAATATACAGCTAGAAGCCCTAACTAGAAAGGAGGCGGGGTTTCTTTGCAGTGGCTTGAATACAGGCTCGTCTTTCATCTCACAACATGAAGGGATGTCTGAATCCCCTGTGGAGACCTTAGAGAAAGCCCTAGGTACCTGCCTCCTTTTGACGGAATGCCTCATATCCCATTGACACTTCGACAGGCACGCGGAGTTCACTGCTTCAAAAGGTGACGATGCCTGACTCCTCTTGAATATTGATAGGAATCCCAAAATCCCTGTGGCTAATGGAAAGGGTCTTTGGGTGCCCTGACTCACCTCGATAAGTGTCCCTTGTGGCCTGCCAAGCCTCGAACAGATTCCTGAGGTGTCCCTCGTTAATAGACTGGAGTCCTGACGTCACTGAATAAACACGTGTTTTGAAGGGCCTTCCCCGCCGTAACTCGAGAACATACCCCAGATCCCCGCCGCAACTCGAGAAAAACCATGAGACTTCTCCCTAGATGTGAGGTATGGCCCGATTCCCCTGCAGTGCATGCAGAGCAATTCCATGATCGCCATCAAACAAGTCAGGAGCTTCGACTTGCTTAACAGATCTCGAGAGAGTCACCAAGAACACTGTCACAAGTGTAGAGGTACCCTGAGGTCACCCCAGGAACGCAAAGCAGCTCCATGTGCCCAAAATCAATTCGAGATGAGGCCTGATACCCCTGCATTGACTCCAGAGCCAACCCCCATTCCCCATTAAACACGACCAGTGGCTTGACTTCCTTCAGGAAACTTCAGAGATGCCCTGGGATCACTGTCCCAAGTCTATAGGAAGACCAGCTTCAGCACAGCAACTCGAGGAATGCTCCGTGTACCCCAAATCGTCTCGAGATGAGAGCTGATTTCCTGGCTTAGGCTCAAGATGTATGCCAACTTTCCAGAAGCACCTCAAGGGGAGGCTTCTCTCAGCAATAGGTATGTGGGAGGGACCCCGAGTTTGCTGCCTCAAGTGGAATATACAGCGAGAAGCCCTAACTTGAAATGAGGCCGGGTTTCCTTGCATTGAGTTGAATACAGGCTCGTCTTTCATCTCACAACATGAAGGGATGTCTGAATCCCCTGTGGAGTCCTTAGAGAAAGCCCGAGGTCCCTGCCTCATTTTGACCTAAAGCCTCACATCCCGTTGACACTTCCACAGGCACGCGGAGTTCACTGCTTCAAAAGGTGACGATGCCTGACTCCTCTTGAATATTGATATTAATCCCAAAATCACTGTGGCTACTTGAAGGGGTCCTTGGGTGCCCTGCCTCTCCCCGAGAGGCGTCTCTTGTGCCGTGCCAAACCTCGAAGAGATTCCTGAGGTGTCCCTCTTTACTAGACAGGAGTCCTGACATCACTGAATAAACACGTGTTTTGAAGGGCCATCCCCGCCCTAACTCGAGAACATACCCCAGGTCCCCGCCGCAACTCGAGAAAAACCATGAGACTTCCCCCTAGATGCGAGATGAGGCCCGATTCTCCTGCAGTGCATGCAGAGCAATTCCGGGATCCCCATCAAACAAGTCAGAAGCTCTGACTTGCTTAATGGATCTCGACACAGTCCCGAAGAACACTGTCACAAGTCTAGACGAACCCTGAGGTCAACCCAGCATCGCAAAGCAGCCCCATGTGCCTCAAGTCAACTCGAGATGAAGCCCGATTCCCCTGCATGGACTCCAGAGCCATCCCCCGTTCCCCATTAAATACGTCCAGTGGCTTGACTTCCTTCAGGAAACTCCAGAGATGCCCCGAGAACACTGTCTCAAGTCTAGAGGAACACTAACTTCATCACAGCAACTCGAGGAATGCTCCGTGTACCCGAAATCGTCTCGAGATGAGAGCTGATTCCCTGGCTTAAGCTCAAGACGTATGCCAACTTTACAGAAGCACCTCAAGGGGAGGCTTCTCTCAGGATTAGGTATGTCAGAGGGACCCCGAGTTTGCTGCCTAAAGTGGAATATACAGCTAGAAGCCCTAACTAGAAAGGAGAAGGGCTTTCCTTGCAGTGGCTTGAATACAGGCTCGTCTTTCATCTCACAACATGAAGGGATGTCTGAATCCCCTGTGGAGACCTTAGAGAAAGCCCTAGGTACCTGCCTCCTTTTGACGGAATGCCTCACATCCCGTTGACACCTCGAGAGGCACGCAGAGTTGACTGCTTCAAAAGGTGACGATGCCTGACTCCTCTTGAATATTGATAGGAATCCCAAAATCCCTGTGGCTACTGGAAAGGGTCCTTGGGTGCCCTGCCTCACCTCGAGAAGTGTTCCTTGTTGCCTGCCAAGCCTCGAAGAGATTCCTGAGTTGTCCCTCGTTACTAGACAGGAGTCCCGACCTCACTGAATAAACAGGTGTTTTGAAGGGCCATCCCCGCCTTAAATCGATAACATAGCAAAGGTCCCCGCCGCAACTCGAGAAAAACCATGAGACTTCCCCCTAGATGACAGATGTGGCCCGATTCCCCTGCAGTGCATGCAGAGCAATTCCGTGATCCCCATCA